AAATTCTGCAATAATTTCCTGTTAGGGTTGTGAGCATCATGGCACATAAACTGAAACGTTTTTTTTTTTTATGTGGACTTCCCTTCAGGATGTTTAGTCTGTAATGAGTCAACAACTAGACCTTTACAGCCCAATGCAGATCTCATCACATCTCTAACATAGAGAAAAGTTTTAAAAGTAGTAGTTTTAAAATAGATTTGTCTCTGTAATCCTGTATTGTGTTAATAACATTTCATGAATAACCTGATAAACTTGTAAATGTATGTTCAAAAACAAATATAAACATGATGAATTTATAAATACAAAATAAAAATACACACACAAATCTGATATTGCCAAATTCAAAAGGGTTCCTACATATATAAACCGTTAAATTCATTTACACAAATCACATAACACTCTCACATCAGGTTGCGAGTGCAAAAATGTTTTTAAAACACATTTCATGTTTTTCGAGAGCTCCCAGATTTGTGTGTACATGGTGCGTTTAAACGTTGGTGGAAAGCTCGGCCTTTTGAGTTTTGTTTGGATTCTAGCATTTTCTCTCCACTGGATTTAGTTCTATACATCTGCCGAACTGACAAAGATGATTTTCTGTGGAAAAGGGGATACATCAGCAACCCTTAGTTAAAAGAAATATATGTACTCTCTATTATTCTTGAAGTTACGGGGCCGATAGTGAAGTAGGAAGAAGAAGTTTGCCCAACAACCGGAGGGATTTGGTTCAAGCCCCAGCTCTGGGTTTCAGTGGCATTGTGTCCTTGGGCAAGACACTTCTCTGGCACTGAGTAATGATGGTGGTCGGAGGGACTGGTGGCGCCAATGTACGACTGCCTCCCTTCTGTCAGTGAAACCCAGGGAAGCTGAGGCTACAATGTAGTTTGCCACCATCAGAAAAAGCGCTATATAAGTACAAGCCATTTACCATTTATGTACAAAAGTTTTTTTTACCATTTCCAAAAAAGACTAGTCTAACATTACAAATACAAATCTATTTTGAAACAAAATTCTCTCCATAAACATCCACTGGCTTTGAAACCAGAATACGTATTTATTTATTGACATTATGCATGCATAGGAGCATTTACAAGATGACATTTAGTTCCAGGCATGAAAGTTTTCCCACTATAAAGAATACTTTTTTTCAAGAATCTATGTCATCAGTTGGTTATGTGCAAATCATTCCAGTGGTGAACTGTGAAGCTCTAGTAAACTTGATGCTCAGGAGAGTAAAGACTGCAGCAAAAAATTGTGACACAAAGGGCACAATGTGGACATTTCAACAAAAAGGTTGACTTACTTTTACCACCACATGTGCAAACATTAATAACTGTGCTGTTTTTGAGGGAACATATGACCTACATGTACATAAAATACTTTACAAGATATTAAAATGGCATTTTTTCAGTGTTGTGATATAAAATTAAATAGCTAAAAAATTATCAAGGATGTGCTCACTTTTGTGAAGTCCTGTATAAGGTGCACTCCGACACAGGAGGGGAAATATAAAAAACAGACATAAAAAAGAAAAAAAGCATATTATTTCAATCACTCACTCGGATTCCCTCCTGTCCCTGTTCCCCTTCAGCCCCTGGAAGCCCAATGTCACCCTACAGTAAAGACAAGACACAAAACATATATATTTTTAGTTAAACTCAATGTTTTCTTAAGAGCAAACATCATTTGCTCTTCAAATGGGAATGTTTTGCATTTATCAGTTTTAGCTGTAAATATGATGCAAGATTCTCCTGACCTTTAAACCTGGCTCTCCAATGGCACCTGGTCCTCCCTCTTTGCCTGGAATACCCTTAAAGAATTGAAAAAAGAAAGGAAATACCCCATAATATCAATGTGTCTTCTTAAGCCAATATCACTTGATAATAGGCTGATGATTAATAATAAAAATTTCAATTAAAATACTTCAAGTCCCTGCTCTCCACTAGGTCCTGGCTCCCCAGTGGGCCCTTTAGGTCCCTAAGAAACAGAAAAACCAGTAAAAAAATATAATTTAATATCTTTAAAATATTTTGATTAATAATACATTTTTAACTTATAGATCAAACAGACACACATAACGTAAATAAAATAAATAAAAAAAGGAACTTAAAAACTGAGAACTTCTATGAAAAGATGCTGAACAGTTTCCCAAAAATGAGATAAGACTCATAAAATTAACAGAGCCTCTAGGCTTTCAGGATGTTTCCACCCTAAAACATACCAGTGACTGTGTAAGACACGCTTTACACCCCTGAGCAGTTGGTGTATTTCCAGGAATATCAAACATTTAGAGACTAATCCAATAATGTTTGGCAGCATTCAGGTATAAAAAGGAAAGTAAGTAGCACACAATGAAACAATTAATGGACCCTTTATCTTCTATAAAAACATTACAGATTATCATTTGTGCTTATTGGTGATTCTAGAATATGAATAAGGTTTTTCCTATGCTCCAGGCCTTATGACTTATAGAAGTTTGCGTTTTATTTTTCATATTTTATCCGCAGTCATTAGAGATAGAGACAAGCTGGTTGACTGGTGTGTAGTGAGCAGATATATCCTGGGATGCTTTGTGAAATCTCTCCTCATGAAACATTAATTTTTTTGGAGGCGAGAAAGAACAAAAAAATGGCCCAAGCAACTTGCAGGGAGACGGAGTTACGTAACCAACAGGGAGCAAAAAATAGTTATCATCTGTCTGACAGTCAGTTAACTGAGTTCACTATAAAGTCCACTATATAGTCCCCACTCTTTATAGTGATTGAGGGATTTAGGGGTATGGGCGAATTTTTGGACACTAACATTCACAGAACAAATAATAATATATTGTAATTTGTTAGCTTTTATCAAGACAGATCCCTCTTGTAAATGAGATCTTGGATCTCAATAAGTTAACCTATATAATATGGAAGGTTTATTTTTTTATTTTTTAGGTTAGCTTTAAAATGTATCAAAAACAATCTTTGCTTTATTTTTCCCAAAGGAACCAACTTTAAATCATAGAAAACTTGTTGCGTTTCTTTTCTTGAAAAAGATCATGTTAAGAGAATTGAACTGATAAGTCACAGTAAACATTCCATTTCAGAAAGGATGGATGGATAAACCAGCTCATTTAAAAGAGCTGTGTAAAATTCAGTACGGCATTTTTTGTTAAGTTTGGTACATTCATCTTTCATTATCATTTTTTCCACACAGCTACTTTCCTCCTGTCATCTTGCACTTTCCTACACTCAGGAAGATTGTGCACAGGTTGTGTCAGTCAGTGTCACACTGGCAGTGAGCAGGTGGCAGAATCATTACACTACCAATAACCTTAACCTTCTCGCTTCTTTTCCTTCTTTCTTTTTCTTTACTCTTTTTTGGTGCGGGCACTAAACAGCAGCTAGGTTAATACCGCGATCAAAGGCATCTTTTTATGCAGACCGGGCGCCTCCGAGTGCATTGCTGCTCCCCTCAGGCGCAGCAGCTTTAACTGATGCTTCGTAATGCCCACGAAAGGATGCACAAGCATCCTTTCGTGCTACACTGCCAGGCATTATGTATAGGTTAGGCTGTCGTTGGACATAAGTTCTGGACTCGTTATAAATGTATGCTATGTATACGCCCGAAATTCATAGAAGGTTTTGACAAGGTTTGACAGGGCCCCTAAAGAAAGGCATCCTTGCCAAAGATTTGTGTACTTACTGGTTCCCCTTGAGGTCCCCTCTCACCAGTGCCCCCTGGAATACCTGGCTTACCCTGAAAAAACAAAAAACAAAACATAAACTAATGTGGTCACACTTTTAAGAATTTAGAAAACAAAACAAAACAAAAAAAAACTGGCTTTGATCAGTGGTGGTTGAGGGCTATTACAGTGTCCAGTAATATTTTCAGGGTAACATATATGTAATGTAAAACCTGTAAGAACCCACACTATATGTTTGTTGAACCCAAACATCTTACTGTCAACATAAAGACATCTAATTTAAAACAACAGTACATTAATTCTGGATTAAATCTTTTTGTACATGCAGTATTTCCTTTTTGTCCACTGAAACTGTTGCTGGGACCTTAAGATGTCTAGGGCTCTGATCTCCTGTGCCTGCTTTAGGTCTTGGCGGGTGGGATGGTGGTCACTCACACATGCCGTTAAACATTATTGTGTAGAAAATTATTTACACAAGCGCACTTTAAAATAGACAAACAGGTTTGGATATAGGTGCTTACAGATGCTCAATATATACAGAAATGCTGCATTTTGAGCTGTGGTTGCCGCTAAATACATCTTGCATTACTCAGTTCTGTTATATTGCATCAAATTTAGAACATACCATCCCCAGAGACAATTTCATCAGATCATAAAATAAGATTGGTTTCCTTTCTCAGACAAGCAGATGACTTCATCGAGTCATTAAATTAGTACAGTTTACTTTTCATTGATGTTGTTTTATATGCAATTGTTTGTCAAGGTTTTCTTTTTCTCTTTATATTTCTCTTTCTCCAGTTGTAGAACCAAACACAAAGTGTGTCAAAATTTGTTTTTTAGCCCATAAAGACATCAACAAAGATATGCATTATGTCCACTTAGGAGGGAGAAACCATTACTTCATATGGTGGTGCTGCTCATACTGCAATATCATGAAAAAGCTTTTTTTTTTTTTTTAAGTAATTCCATTAGAAAAGTGAAACCTGACTAATAGAGCTCACTGAATAGCCAGCCTCTTTAGAAATTAGAATTTGCATCGTGTCCTCCTTGTGAAAAATGTCTTTTGGACATTTGTCAAGTCAGCAGTCTTCCTCATGATTGTTCAGCCTACAGAACTAAATTGAATGACAGTTTAAAGTCCTTTGCAGGTGTTTTTGTCATGATCTGGCATGTTTGCTCTTCCTTAATTTCTGTCATGATCTGGCCTGTTTGCTCTTCCTTAATTTCTGTCATGATCTGGCCTGTTTGCTCTTCCTTAATTGGTTATTTCTTTCACCTGTCATTTCCCTCCCTGCCTCAATTATCATTTATTTCTCTCACCTGTTTCCTTTGGTTTACATTCTGTTCAGCCTGAGCATTCGGGGCCAGATCATTATTTGTTTTCTGTTAGCCTGTCTGTTAAGTTTAAACCAGGTTCTTGTCCTGTATCCTGGCGGCCAGTGGATAGAGGGTTTTGTGCCTGTCTCGCCTTGAATTCTGGGTCCAACTTCTTGAGATCATTACAGTTTTGACTTAATCAGCTAATTTGTGTGACACTGGGTTTCTTCAATATTGGACTTTTTCACAATATAAAAATTTTCTGAGATACTTAATTTGGGATATCCATTAGTCAGTTATCCACATGAAAAAAAATGAACATAAAATACAAAAATAAATATTAATAAAATATACAAGTCCAACTTTTTATAATGTTATAATAATTATAATAATATTTGTCATTATATTCCAATTTTATTAGTAGCATCTGTATATGGTTTGTATTTTAGGTTTGCTATTTGTTGTGTTGTATTCAGTGATGGTGCCAAAATATAGAATACTAGGAGGAATTTTCCATGTACTTGGTCATTCTGGTTGACTGCCAGTCAAAAAGCTTTAAAACAGCTGTCCAGTTATATAGGTACTATGCATGAAAGGGTTATATATCTTGATACCTGAATGATACTAGACATGAGCTTTGTGGAATTAAAGGGCTGAACCTGCTCCCTTTTGCTTTAAATCCTTCTTGAACATAATTAAGATATGTCTTTGGTGAAACTTAACAGTTATATTAGTGTGCATTGGTAGTGTTTTATTCCTTTGGGCAAACCCTTTAAATTCTAACCCTTCTATTTGTAGAGATAGTTTTTAACCTGACATCACAATTTAAGGGACATTTTCTGCAGTAACATTTTTATGCATCTTTGCTTATCAGCACCTTCCTCTTTTAAAGTTGTAGCAAGGGGGATGCAAATCCGGTTCTGTCTCTATTTAGAAAGCCTTTTTTCTCTTTCTTTATCCTCTCCTCAGGCAGCTTATAAAGGACTTACACTAATCAAAGAAAATCCCACTTGGGCAAAAAAATAAAAATAAAAAAAATGACTAGATTAGATTTCTTTATAACTTTTAGCTTAAGAAAAACTCTATTTTTTTTTTATAATTTCCTCAAGAAACTATGGCAAAAGTCTAAAATGTAATTTTTTTTTTGTTTTTCTTGCAAATAACACAAATGTCCAATTTCAAAGTACTCATTTTGATTGCTGGAAAAAGCTCCAATAAACTGTTAACTGTCTATATTTCCCCAAGATCCTAAGGGAATTTAGGATGTCCCATTCACTAGAAAGGGGTAAAGGAGGGGTTAAATAACATACAGAAAACAGAAAATAGTTAGTGTTGCAAATAAAGTTTTAGATAAACAACTCTGTGTAATACAATCCGAAAATACAATGTTCCAACTTTACAGTCGAAATTACCAAGAACATTTCAAAATGCCAGAGATAATCAAAATTTCTTGTTATGTTTTACAGAAGCTATTATCCAACACATGATGGCGCCATAACTCCACAATAAGACACGCACATCATACCAGAGTCTCAGAGCGGGGTAGTTTATGGTTTTCTATAAGATGTAAATGTTTCTTGTTTAAAGCTTGGCCACCAAAGCTCCTTTGCTTTAACTATTTTAAAATAATAATTTTGAATAATATTTTTGCAAGATATTCTAAAGCATAAATCAAACACAGGTTGAGAAAGAGCATATATTCAGAAATAGATATATAACTTTATGGATCTCACAATGGAGAAATTAACTCTGTGTTTAACCCATCCCCTTGGGGAGAAGTGGGCTGCCATTGTGTGGCGCCCGGGAAGCAGTGTGGGGTTAAGGGTTTTGCTCAGAGAACCAGAGTGGAGGCAGTGGGGATCAAACCGGGTACTTGCAACCTTCTCAGAGCACAAGCGCACTACTCTAACCCACTAGGCCAACACGTATAAATGAGTTGTACTATATGCCTTTTTATATTACCTGTTTAGGACTTTTTTTGGTATATTTACTAACCTTCTGAGGACCAACAAGCCTTATGTATGTGATTAAGGACATCTGGCTGAGGAAGGAGTTAACATTTTTAAAAGCAAGGAAAGCAAGATTTATGTATTAATGGTAAAAAAACAAAACAAAAAAAAAAAACAGCAGAAGCTGCAAATCCAGCCAATAAATGAAAATCTATAAACTGTACAGTATAAGACTGACTTACTATAGTTTTAAGCACTGCATATGGTTCTGCTTCTGGTTTACTGTTTCAAATATCACTATTAAATCAGTTTTATATTAAAAGGAAATACATTTAAGAGTTGAATTTGGATGCATATGTTTAATTGAATGAAGTGTCCCTTTAAAAAAGTACAGCAAATGTCCTTAATCAGTGCATCACTGAACTACTTGCGCATAAATAAACAACCTAACAGGAAGAAGAATGTTTATATTTATTTATGGCTTCCAGGACAATGGCACTCACTGGTTTGTAACAGCCCCTCTATCAAACATGCACACAGTTAAAGACACACCTGTTCCCCACATAGCGCAATGCTCTGTGTGACTTTATTTTCTGATAATTGAAGTTTATGATGAAGACACAATGTAAACAGGGGTCATTCAGCACATTCTCAGATAGGGTGGCTGCAGCCCTCAGATGTGAGGAGGTAAAGGAAATCTTTGCGATACATTTCAAGCATCCAGTGCTTATTGTGAAAAAAAAAAAAAACGATTTAGTTAAATGAGTCCTATCAAACCAGCATTCAGAAAGCATGTTAAAGTGGCATATTTGGACACCATTGGAAAAATGAGAAGGATGTCAAAAATAGATACAACTTACATCATTTGTTCATGTTCTACTGATATTTATTTATATTTTGTTCAAGGATATTAATCATGTTTTAACTATTATATAATTTATATCGGTAGAAACGCAAAAAACAAAATTGTGTGATTAGAGAGTTATATGAATTTATACTTTAGCACAGGATTCAGCACACCTTTCATTGTGCAAAATGGGAATGTTTTAATGTGAACAAAGAGTTATATCTGAAAGGTTAAATGTCTAATTTATGTCCAGAGCACAAAACTCGCCATAGCTAAAACAGGACTCCTACATATAGCATACTACACACGTAATGAAACTGTTTTCTTTTGTTTAATTATAGTGTGTGGCCACAGCGTGCATATCAGATGTTCCTCACAGAGATCCTCAGTGTACTCAGGGGGTTTGTGTGAATGCCCAGACACATGAAAAATTAGAGGGAAAATTGCTTATATCATTCTTGGATTGGGGCAGTCTTCTATGGTTGTACAAAATAAGTAAGGGTATGTCAGTGACTTTAGAGAAGTTTATGAGTAACATTTGCCTTTAACAATTAACAATCTTTTCTGGCATGTAGAGACACTTTTATTACACTAGCATGGTGTGCTAACAACAAAAAAACAACAACAACAAAAAAAGCATGGAAAAGCCCACGGCTAAGGGACAGAGAACAGAGAGAATATGTGAACTTTTGTCGACATGCTCAGAGGCACCAGCAGGTTCTCTTTTATTAGAACCTCCAACCTGGAGGAGAAGATTGAAGCAACTCTTAAATCATGACAAACTGGGATTCTACAGTAAGGGAAAAAAGGACAGGGATGAGCTTTATGAGTGTTTTTTTCCCCGCTGTAGCTATAGTGACAGTGTGGGTGGTGATTAAAGCCTCAGAGTGAATAATTTTTGCTAAAAAATAGAAAAGGTTGAACATTACTTACGGGCTTTCCAGGAAGCCCTCTTTCTCCGGGAACGCCAGCTTTGCCCTTTGAAGGTAAAAAACCAAAATGGAAACAGATTAAAACACGGTTTAAATCAGGTCAAGTTGGTTCGCTGTGATAAAACAGAAAGATTGCAGAGAGATCCTAAATTTGGGATGTTAAAATATTTGCCCACGTTCAGAAGATGATGAAAATCATATACACAAATAACTGTACTTTTAGATACAATGTAAACTGATAAAGCTAATGCTTCCCTAGACATGCAAAATAAAAGTGGTTTAGATTTATTCTCTGAGAAGTATTTTAAAAGATCACTTCAGTTTAGAGCTACCCTGGTCTGCCCATGTTAGGTGAGTCTAACTTGGGGTGCAATAAAGAGCCTGTCTGGTAAGGCTTAGGCTCCCCAGTCTTCAACAGGCCAGACCAATCACAGGGCAGCAGGAAGCCCCATAATACACAGCTTTTCTGCACCCAAAACAGTTACAACTGCAGCTGCAACAGAGTAATGTTTTAATGATGCTCTTAACCATTTCCCAAATGGGGTAAGAGCTTTTATTTTAGAAAAAGATGTCTTATGCATCATACCTGCTGTTATCTGATTGGTTCTAACCTCCTACTGCCGACTGCTTTAGTCCCACCTTTAAATCAGGCTCTATTTGCTCCTTTCCAGACTGATATGCTGTGGGAAGCCTTATGTCAGTCAGGCTGGCCAGACTAGTCTACAGCAGTGGATCCCAAAGTGGGGAGTTATTACAATCATTGTGATGTGATCACTGAGGTATCACATAAATACCAAAACATATTTAATCAAATACTTTCAGTAAATGTACATTTGGCATGAAAGAAAATAAAAGTACCATGAAATTAGTAAATACATTTGTTTCATTTATGTTACCAATACACAATTCAAATATTCAATTTACCAGTAAACTGCAGCATTAAATAATACATTTTTCAGTTTAATAAAACAAAATGATCAAATGTGAGATTTACAAAAACTATACAAATAATAAAAATATTTCCTGTTACGTTTTTTACATGAATATAGAGTAAGGTAATCATATGTATTTTTAGGGGCGTCTACAGTCTGTTGCACTATTATTTTTCTGAGTGGAGCCCAGTGTATAGCTTTAAATAGGTTGTTTTAAACAAAATCCCAGCTAAGGATATATTAAAAATGATATGATAATGTCCTCAGCTTAATATTACTGAAGTCTAACTTTAAGGGCCTAATCTTTGAAGGGGTTGTTTGTATAAAAACCCTGGATAGAATGTGCAAAACTGGCCATTAAAATGATTAGGGTAAAATGATTGGAACTGTGGGCACAAACTTTTTTGGCGTGTGGGCCTTTGTGATTTTGCATATCATATTCTAATAACCAAACACAAGGATTATGCAGAGTTAAATACCTACCATATGTAAAGTGGTTTATTGAAAACAAACTGCTGGTAAATTTTTCCATAAGGTGCACAACCCATGATTTAATAGCTTGTAGAATCTCCTTTAGTTATAACAGCTTTTATATTTGAATAAATGATGATGTAAAAATGGAAGCCTCTTTCCCTTATGTAACATAGCTACTTGAATGTACTGCTTTAGCCAGTCTTAAGCTATTTGATTCAAGAATGCTTTCATATAAAAATAACTTTAGGTCCGAACAAACCATCACCCTTTAATTCCCAATATAAATGATCAATACAATGTTTTTATGATTACATGTTAAACTTTTTTTCCTAAACTTGTTTGTGTGAATTAAAGCCAAATAACTCCAAGATTACTAAGATGGTTTGAAAATGGCAGGAATACACCTCACAGATTGATTACTAATAATTGCTTCTCTGTCTCTCCTTCTTGGCACTGTTACATCATCCCCTGTTACATTTCAAACTCACAAACTGCCAACACTCCTGCCTTAATCAGGACCTCAGTATCATACGTTCTAAAAACTTCCAAGTGAGTTTGTTGAGCAGCACCTGGACGCTACTAGTCCTTACTGGAATGGAAAGGTTTTTCAAATGTTTTTTTTCTAATTTTTTACCTTAGTTTATACCAAAATATAAGGTGCAGTCTCCTTGTTTTTTGTTTTCGTTATTTACTTTTCATTTTATCTGATCTTAGATTCAAATCATTTTAGATCCTTGTAAAACCTGATACAGCATTTATACCTTAAGAGTATGAGGTTTTTTGGGGGGGACAATGTGCTATAGCTATAATATTAGTTCCATCAAAATGGTCATATTTTTTTTCCTTTTTTTCAATATGCAGCCAAAATATGTAAAATATTTTGTGATCTAAGCAAAGTATTTTACCTCTATAAATATGGAAGAAAAAAATGTTTATTTAATAAATACTTACTATGAATCCTGGTTCTCCTTTTGTTCCAGAATCACCCTTTTCACCCTAGAAAAGAATATATATAGCTCAGTATTTATAGCTTAAAAACATTTTTTTCAATAATAATAATAATAATAATAATAATACTTTGGACTTGTAATGCACATTATATTTAAACAAATCCCAAAGTGCTACATAGTAAAACAGGTAAGTGTCAAGACTCCTGTCTGTGTGTTTGTGTTCTGTGTTTGTCTCCCTTCCTCCACCAGGAGGCGCCTGGTTCTGGTCCACTTCCTCACACACCTGCTGATGGTTTCCTTCCTGCTGACTGCCACTACCTCGATGCCAGAGTGTTTTCCAGTTTTGGGCACTCTAGCCAAGCTGAGTTTTGCTGAGTCAAACTGAGTTCTTGTCAACCTGAGTTTTAGCATTGTTTGTCTTTTGCCTCTCGGCAGGAAGCCATCCTGCAAACTGGATTTTTCCGACCTTCTCTCCCTGGAAGGATCAACTGAGCTTCAAACTGAGCTGGGGTTCAAACAGGAGGTTTGGATCCACTTTCCCCAAGAGATCGTTTGAGCTTTACGCTGAGAAAGGGATTCGTCTCCATTATGACCCGTTCAAGTACTGCAGGAAATCTGAGTGGCAGTCAGTTTCTCCGTTCACCTACAAACAACCGCTTTCTGGGTAAACCCTGTTCCGCCCTCCACTGAATCAGACAAACACTGGAACTACAGCATACAGACTGGGGTCACAGATTCAACAACTTCTCTGGAAATGTGAGTCAGCAACCAAATCCTCTTCTCCAAGTTCACGAATCTATTTTCCCACTGAGCCTGAACTAATCGCGGTGCCTTCCCCTCACTTTTAAGTTCCGGTTGAGCAGTCACTTTTGTAAAATCATGTCATTTTTGTAAAATCATGACAGTAAGTGCTAAATAAAAAGCCTTACATGGAGAGCATGAAAAATAAAAAGTAAAAGAAAAGAGAAAATAATCAAAGACAATAAAAGATAAAAAAAGGGAAGAGTTCCATTAGAATCTCTCCTAAAAAGGTGGGTTTCAAGGCCATGTTTAAAAGCATCAGTAAATCATCATTACAAAAGGTATAAAGAGATCTCTCAAATCGGACACATAAAGAAATACAACTGCATCTATGCATCTTATAACTACATAACTTACATAGAACTCCCTGCGTGATAACCAATTTAATAATATATATTTTTTTAATTACATGATTTCTCTCCTTTTCAGAACAGAATCTAGTTATTGTTTACCTTGGAGCCCTCAGGTCCCGGTTCTCCTGTTGCGCCATCTGGACCACTGGGCCCCTGCAATACATAATTTGTTTTTACTTTAATAATTAGCTACATACTTACAAATTATACACAGGTTAATAAAGTGGAGCACTGTGAAGTAAAAAATACACTGATGTGCCATTAGATGTAATTTTCCCTTCTAAAGTAAAACAATTTACCCAAATCTCAGAACCTATCATCTAAACCGAATCCCACATTCTATTAATCTTTTCTATACATTTTAGGTTATAAAATTATTGAAAAATTACTGTTATCCCATTCTTAGATGGATAATTTGTTCAAAAACAAGTTTTCAACATTACTGAATCTTACCTTTTTTTTTCTTGAAACAAAATTTAAACATTTAGAATATTTGTTACAATTCTTCCCTTTGTTTGTTTCCTTGTGTCTGTGATGGGGCTGGACAATATTAGAAATTCCTGCTATGATGATACAGTGAATTGCAAAGCTCTGATACACAACTGATCTCCTTTTCATCTAAGCGTCCTTTTTTATGTGACCTTAAAATATGCATTTTGATCAATGTAATTTTTGTCCAGTCTGAGAATCTGCTGACCAACTGACTAAATTAGCAATAACATGTTAAATGCAAGTCCTAGAAACTGTTTAAAATGCTAGGATTTTAAATGCAACTGAAGCATATTTGGTATGTTAGTTCCAAAGTATTTCAATTTCTTTATTCATTCTATGCCATATATATAAATAATTGGAAATACTATCCAAGTCTAATAAAATAAAATAATTATATCAAGAATAAGACAATTCTATTTCTCCTTCTGTAGGGGTCATTTTCCTGTCAACCGACACGCACCCCACTCATGTATTTTACATCTGAGTAAAATAAATAAACCCATTTAAAATGGAACTAAAAGACATTAGGTCCAAGAAAAAAAGATAAACCAAACTCCTGTTTTTGTGATTTAGTTTTATTCTAAATATGAAACTGTAACTTAAACTGCGCCGTGTTCCATAATAACTCAAATTTGTTTCTATTTTTTTTTTTTTTTTTTTTTTACATCTTTAGATGTAAAGAGGGACATTTCAATAGTAGAGAAAGACATGTTCAGGCGATAGTCCTACCCTTCTCCCTTTAGGCCCAGCGATTCCTGGACTGCCCCTCTGTCCCTGTGGACCCTGTTAAACAAAACAGTTTTCCAACATCACAAAAAATACATACTAAGAGCAATACATAGTAAGATCTAAAAAATGTGGTAGGTTTCAATGTCAGTCTGAATGTTATATGATTAAGCATTTCCAGCTCTAACTTAATATGCTTGAAGACAAATTTGGTGTTTTTGCTGCATCCCAAGGAGGAAAGGAATCTGCTTTGCCCAATGGGCAAACATGAGTATAATTTTAAAATATTCAAATTATTGTTCAAGCCACAGTGGCTGCATAAAACATGCACTGTATATTATTGTTTCTTTAGCAAGACAGACCTGTTTGAAAATTAAGAGCAGTTAAGCTTCCATTTTTAATAGATAACACTTACAGGTAAACCTTGCATGCCAATATCCCCAGGACTTCCCGGTGATCCTGGGTAACCCTATTACAAAACATACAAAAATACAAAGATAGACAGGTAGATAAGAAACTGTGACTCTGACTAAATACTTCCATTGTGAGATCAATAAAGTCAATCAATCAATCAATTGAACAGGTTCGCTGGTGAAGATTCTCAGTCATCAAGGTCATAGTCATTCCAAAAAAGTAAAAAAAAAAAATCCACTAGACTTTGTTTTCAAGACATTTCGCTTCCCATTCAGGAAGCTTTTTCAATTAAAAACGTCAGAAATAGCGTTGAGTTCAAGGCTTTATAGAGTGGACTAAAAAGAAAGACTTTTTTTGGCTTAAAAAACATGTAGATTAAACCGAACGAGCGGATCCGCCCCTTAGGAATGGGCAGTTGTCAAGGTTCTTTGTTAGCCTGCAATACCCGATACCTGTCTATGTCTCTGAAAGGTTGTCAGGGGGAATGTTTGTTTTTTGGTTCACTCTATAAAGCCTCAAACTCAACGGCATTTTTTACATTTTGAATCGAAAAAGCTTCCTGGATGGGAAGCCAAACGTCTTGGAAACAAAATGCAGTGGATTGTTTTGGAACATTTTTGGAATTAAAGAGGTAGCAAAACCTTTAAGCACTGTGTCTTATATAACAAAGATTTTTATTTCTTTCTCTTCCATGGTGCCCTAAAGGCTGAGCAGTGCTTCTCAATATTATACAGTTAATTAACACAGACATCTGTAAAGCAATCATTTCCCAACATTTAAAAGCTCCCAAATTGGCTAAATTCCCTGAAAAATGAAACTGGCAGTTGCACCTTTAATTTTCGTAAACCGAATATATAAATTCTCCAACTGTAGTTACACTAAACCATCAAGTTAATCCCCTTTTCTTTCACCCATTAGTTTGTGAGCCACTGTAACAGCCAGAGAGGTCAGTACTTTATTCCAGAACCCCAGACATGGCAATAATCCAAAATCCTGAGATAGTGTGGGAAAAAAAATCAGCCACTCACAAAGACTTGTACAACTCTGCAGCTGACACCATACACTCTGCAGCAATACATATTCTTATCTTTTATGTGTTTATTTGTAGATAAAATGTCTATACCAACAACTTTCTTATTGCCACAAGTCAGGTAATGATTTAAAAATAACTTCTTATCCTGTTTCTACAAATACTTTTGGGTTTATGCAACCAATCTTGAACAGAAAGAAAACTAAAGTATTTTATGATGATAACAAAGGCCTGATCACTTTCACGCAAAAACTGCAAAGTTTGTAAATTTGCAAAAATCCTGGGAAAAAGTTCACCCCCCATTTTCTGGTCATTATTCTTCCTGTTATAGCTTTTTGAATATATGTTTACAGTGACATTTAGACTTTACAACAAATAAATAAAAAAGTATTCAGACTTGATGAATAAGGCTTTTCTGTTTCATGAAAAACTTTAACAATAACATTTCTTCTCAGAGCATTTTACTTTTTCTTGTCTTATACTGGAAGTAGAGGATAGTGCTGTCATCTTTCTAAGTTTATACATACAATAAATCCTTTTATTAGTGAAGAATGCAACCTTACTTAAAGAGTGACACCCTCTACTCTATGGTGATTTCTATTTATTTTCTATTAATGTTGTAAAATAAACAAAATATATTTACTTAAAAAAAAATCTGTCATTGTTAACTGTCTTAGGGCAACTGGAAACATGGATCTTGATGCTTAATGCATGATTTTAAGTATTGAACACATTCTGAAAGCGTTTTTTCCTTAATATAAAATGGCTGGCACTGAAAAAAACCTAGATTATATGTCTGGAAAATCCTTAGTGACTTAACTCACCATGGGCCCCTTTTCTCCAACAGGACCTGTAGGACCTGGTGGCCCCCGGTCACCCTGTTAAAAATAAAAAAAAAGAAATTATGTTTCTGGAGATGGACGTGTTCCAGGACATAGTAAAGGTAACCATCCACTAAATAAAAAAAATAAATATTGTTTTTTCATTATTTGCTTACCTCCCATTCAAAATACATCATCTCAAATACAAAAACATAACGATATTATTTAAATTTCTGTTTATTATTGGTGTTTAAAATTATTTCAGATTGCATGTTTTATTTTTTAGTTAAGGGTATTTTTTATGCATTGTAAAGCAAAATCTTTAAAGTGGATGAAAGAAGTGTCTTTTCAGATTAATCTTTTGAGGATTTTAGAGTTTCAATGCAAATTTAGAAATATTTGTTATGTTAGGTAAAGACAGAAGCTATTGAAGGCCTTTATAAAGATGTGCTGATAAATAATGAGTCTAAAACAATCCTAAAAAATAACGGTTTTCTGAGCAAGAGAGTTAAAATTAGCTAAAATAATGGAAAATAGAGTGTAAAGCAAATTAATTAATGAAGGACTCCTAAATATCCTGTGACACATTTTCAGAAAAACTGATCGAATGTCTGGTTGACTCTGATATAAGTCTGTTCTGCTCAATCATCATTACCCAGATCATTGAGAACTTCTCAAGGTTAAACTTTCAGGTTGTTTTAAATACTGAAATCCTCTTCATGAAAGTGTATTAAAACACACAAGACATCAGTCGGCTTATTTAAAAATGAAGCCACCGCCATTTTTAATGAAATGATGCATTTTCTTTTTCATAAACAGGGTAAATGCAATGACGGTCCATCTCCTTTTCTTTACGCCCCCCTCATTATTGTAAGCGGAAAATTTTAATTAAACGTTGAATTCGAAATTTTAGTCTCTAAAGTAGAGTGCTGGAGAATAAAAATATGCAGAATGGGAAAAGAATTTGTAGGCTGTCAGGGTATGCCTGGTGCTGACAGAATAAATCGGGTGGGGGGTTGTGGGAGAGTTGGAGAACAAGCAAGAATCTGACAAGCAGACGGCTTCTCATCACAAGAACATGTTCTGACACACGGGCCTTCTGGATAGGAAAGAAAAGGCAAGCAGGTTGGGATAGAGGGAGGGAACAATTGATTTGAAAGCCAAAATGTAAATGTTGCTTGAGAGGACTAAATGATGCACAGCCAAAAATGCTTAGTAAGCTGGGAATGGAGTATTAAGTTATTTCTTTGGAATTTGATTAAAGAAAATACACCTTTAAATTGGAGAGCTGCATGTGATATGAATTAAATAAACGACTTATGTTCATTTTCATAGCGAAACATAACATGCTTCTTTAAAAAAACAGGCAGTGGTAAAGAGGCTATAATGAGGACATGGCTTTGACAATATTGTTATTGATGTGGATGTGAGGGTGCTGAGTGTTTACACAAGCATGTGTTCCTGGGTTTCAAGTCAAGGCTGCTTTAACGTGGGCTTAATTATAGGGGTCTGCTGCTGACAGGCAAGCAGCTGATGCTGCCTGACAGACTAATGACAGAGAAACACACTCCTTACCTTTTCACCAGGAACTCCCATTACCCCAGCTATCCCAATTAGGCCAACTGGACCCTGGAGAGAAGGAGGAGAGGAAAAAAGAGAACAAGAAAGAGTGTTAAACACAAACACGTCAGGAGAAAGTACAGAGGGTTACTTACGAACCTGTCATGAAGCTGGGATTCCAACACATTGAAATTAAATGTTTAAGTCAGTCTTGAGTGAATTTGTTTTGTCTAAAATTATAAAATGATTAGATAGAAGATTCTCAGTATTAGAAAAATCCTAATGATAGCCAGAAAAAGGCACATTTTATGTCATGTATTATTCTTCTTCTCTTCACTCGACTTTTTAAAACCTTAAAAATTATAAAATGAATGCTAACAATTTTAAGGAACATCTAATATAATACCTAGAGCACTAATTACACTTATTTCCACCTTGGATAAAATTATATAAAAAACAAAAATCATTTACTGGAGAAGAAATATTTTTCTCTCAAAACATAAACATCACATAACTTTTAGCCACTAGGGGCTAAAAGTTACTCATGGTAAAATGAGTCTGTGACTGAAGGTGCTTCTATGGGTGACCAGCACATCATGAAGAGGATGTGCTGAATATTCCAGCATGGATTTCTGGCACTGCTGTCAGAAAGACAAGCTCCTCTCCAACCACGTGATTTAAAGCAACTAGCAACACTGCACTGTCACAACATTAAACAGTCTCCCTCCATGTTTATGGAATCTAATGGTTGATCACTTTGGACAAGCAGATTGAGGAGTCATGGAGATACTCTCTAATGACAAGGCCACAATCATCACTCTAGATCCAATCCTACATTCGAGAACCAAGATATGTCTTGACTGGCAGGGGTGAAAGTAGTTGTAAATTCTTGACAGTGCTCTGCAGGGGTATATAAACTCTTTTCTGATTGTGACACTTGCCTGTGCTTTGTTAATTGCAGTGCTAAAGGGGATTTCTTTCAAAGTTTCTGCCACTTCTTGAACCAACTTTGCAGCATCAATGTTGGGAGGCCTGCCAACTCTTAGCTGTACTCCCTTAAATTGACTAGGGTATGAACTAAGAATTTCAATGCATTTAATATATATTGTCATGATCTCAAATACCTATGGGAGTGTAGTTTTCCCATTATGAAGATACTCTGAAAGGTTCTTAGTTCAGTGGGGACCTCTGTCATCAGAGCAAGACTTTTCAGGAAATGTATAGAGCAGAAGGCTTGACCATTTTGAATACATAGCCAAACTCTTTTGGCTTCCTTATTTTCATAGACCTCAAAGGACCCAGTCCAGGTAGAGTGGAGAATGCAGCTGTTGAAATTGAACACAACCATTAAGTGGTGTGTTAGACTACCTATTGCTAGCAGCTCTATTTGGACCCTAAGTCCAGCGGTGGCAGGTTCTGGAAGACGGCTTTATAGCAGACAGCCGTCCTCCTCCTTCTGGTACTGCGTACGGCACAGGATCTTTTAGCCGTACACAGTACCAGACTGTACTTTCACCTGTGCTGATAGGTAAATGTTGCCTAGCAACACGTTCTTATGTTCAGCTCTACAGAGCAGAGTTTTTCAGGGGCAACCCAAATGGAGGAGCACTAATACCCTTCAAGTGCTGTAAATCTTTTAATATTTCTCAAAAGATATAAGGATTTTTTGCATTTTTGTATTGCTTTTGAAAAGTTGATCAGGCTATATGAAATCATGATTTACTTTTCCTCTAAAGGAAAACTATCCCTGCAGGCCTATTTATTGACAATACTTTAATTTAAGAAAGACACAAGAGCATGACATCCAAAGGTGGAAAGTTGATGTTTATCTTCCTATATTAAGAAATTGCTATACGAAATCTAATTTTGCCCATATTTACACCAAAAGAGAAACAATTTAGAGGTTAGCAACAACTCAAAGTGGTAAAAATAAGAAAAGAAAATAACCCCAGTGACCAAGTTTGTAAGAGTTAAAGTAAAACTTTTCAACCCTCTTATGGATAGCCCAGGTTTTTTTAAATATCAAATAGCTATGGAAAAAGGTGATATTATTTTTAACACATTTTTACTAACAATGACAGCAGCCATCTGAGGGTTGTTCATCAGAATAGTATTTGTGAAAAAATATTACATCTAACCAATTGTATAGTAACATCAGTAACCAATAACAGCTCTAAATCTGTTTTATAAAACCTCTGATACTGGTTAGCAAGAGATTTACAACCAGATTAGAAAGGTTAATGAGAATGTTTAGGCCAATTCAGAGACTGATTGGTGATGTAAAAAAAGACAAGAGCAAATATTGGGAAAGCTTTCAACAAGGAGGGAGCTCCTTTGCATGAAGAATACTGTCACTTGTTGTCCTCCGCTTATACAGAACTGGAATAAGCAGTACAGTAGTCTTAGCAAAGACTCCCAGACTTTTCAATCCCCATACACTTCTTCCAGCTCCTCTAGGGTAAGCCTAAAGTTTTCCAGGGCAAGCAGGGAGACATAGTCGCTCCAGCTTGACCTAGGCCATCCCTTGGGCTTCCTAATGAGGGAATTTTCCAGAGGGCATCGGAAACACCTGTCCAAGCGACATCAACTGTTTCCAGTTAATGTGAAGAAGAAATGGCTCTACTCTAAAGACTCTCCCGGATTGCAAAGGTACCTGGCCACCCTGTGGAGAGAGCTAATTTCAGCCCCTTGTATCCAGTATCTCATTCTTTTGGTGATGATTTCAAGATCATAGACTAGGCTAGCAATGTAAACAGACGGGTAAATTGGGAGCTTTGCCTTTTGGCTAAGCTCTTTCTTCACTACAACAAACTGATTGTCAGTATTAGCCGTACCAATCCCTCTATTGCTTTCTCTCAACATTCTTGCCTCGCTTGTGAATAGGACCACAAAAACTCCTTCACTTGAGGCAGTGTTTCTCCTCTGACGTAAAGGGGTAAAAGGAAAGTCACCTTTTTTAGTTAGGAACAATAGCCTTTGCAGATGGGAACCAGCAGAACCGTGTAATCTGCAAAAAGTAGGCACAAAATGGGCTGGTCCTCAACCCAGGCCCCCTCTGGCGTTTAGCTGTGGCTAGAAATCCTTTCCATAAAGTCTATGACAAGGACCATTGACAGAGGGTAGCCGTGCTGGAGTCTAATATGTACTGAGAACAGATCCAATTTAATACCTGGAATGTGGATTACACTCCTGCTATGCTTGCACAGAGACTAGTAGGAACCCTAGTATAAAGTCCCTAATTCTGTATTCCACAGGGCACCAGAAGGGAAAACTGCTTGGGCAAACTTCTATGAACCCCATGCACCCTGCAGAGTGTGTAAAGCTGGCCCAGGGTCCTACTGTTGGGATGAAACCCATCCTGCTTCTCCTGAAGCCAGACTGTCCTCTTTGGCACCCTGGCATAGGCCTTTCCACGGAGGCTGAGAAGTGTGATCCCCCTATACTTTGAACACACCCTCCAGTCTCCCTCTGCCAGTCCAGGGGGATTGTCACTAACCGCCACACAGTGCTTAAGAGACATGCCAATCACAACAGCCATACAACTTCCAGAGTGATAAGGTACCCAGGTCAGAATCCATCCACTCCCAAAACCTTTCCACTGTGTAGTTTTTTTTACCACTTCGGTGACTTAAACACTAGTTGATGAGTCAGTTTGGCTCCAGGCGCCCAGTCTCTGCTTTAACCAAACATGGATATCAGTTAGGTTGTGGAAAACCTCAAAGTACTCTTTCTACCGCCTGACAAACTGAAGATTTGTGGCACCTATATTTCCTAAAAACTGCCACCAACCTCCATAAGAAGGTTCATATATGCCCCTACCCACAGATCTCAGTCTGGACAGCAGCATTTATATACATACCTGATTACAGGCCAGTTTAAATAAACTTGCATTGATTTGGCATCCATTCTCTTTACAATGTTTTTTTTCTGCAGAGTTTGACTTACGACTTTCACATAGTGGTATAATTAATTCACATTGTCTAATAACTTTTTTTTCCATGTGTCCCAGAGTGTTTATATTGAAAAAGGGGGGAAAAAAGTCTTTGACTGAAACAAACTAACAGAAAAGAAACAGGCGACTAGCATAAACACTATAAAGCTTTGTTCTTTTTGCAATTCATCAACTTGGCAAAATGCCTGACAGCTATAAAATACTCCTCATATATCATCACTGCAGGAGGATTATCCTCCTGAATTGAAATAAGCACTGGGTGACGGTAATGTAATACAGCCAGCAAGACAGGGGAACAAGAACACTTTATTGACCTCAGATCCCTTAATCTGGTGAGAAAGTACAACAACATGGCAACTTGAAACTTATAACTGCATAAAAGTTTAACAAGGTATTTTATGTTCCAACAATTATATCTGGAGGCTCAACTGCTACTTATTTTAGGGTACAGTAGGTACTCTGGTCAGGTAGAAAAGAAAACTTAACTAGATTAAAGACGTTCTAATTCAACCAATAATGTCACATTCATAGAAGCAGTACAACATTCAAATCCAAACAGGGTGATGTAGTCAGAGGAGTAGTTGATTTTGTCAAAGCAGCCTGTTTTCATTTTTCTATATATTTAGGTTCTTTAAGAGAAAATGAAGGATGAGACTTGGAGCAGAACATCTGAAATGGCCAAAAGTGTCCTAAGCTCTTGAAAACCTTCAATGAAAATGTCACTTTAAATGGTTTATGAGAGGTGATATAAGGATAAAAGACCACTTAGTGAAGATATAGGGATTAAAGCTTCAATGCATCAACCCATTCTCGATGTCAGTCACATCTCATTTATCTGGAAAGTGATGTAATGGGATTTATTAGAGCCAACATATGTTTAAGGGTTTCTTTCTCACTGCATAGAGCCATGGTTCCTGTTTGGCTTCAAAGGGCCCTCTGTTCAGTTAGTGCTTAATGCCTCTCATATGTGCAGAGCAACAACACAGTCCAGCATGCAAGGCCCAATTGGTTGCCTCTTTTATCCTTAGAATGCAAATATTAACATTAAGGGGCCTGCTGGAGGGACAGGTCTTCTTGTAGTTTTCATAGAAGATGTATTTGAGGAAATTTCAACAAAGGAGAAGCGGTACAGTTCCTACTCCAAAACTTAGATTCTTTGCAGGGATAAGATTTTTATTTTTTTCTAAAGACAAGAATTAGGGCATTTGATAAAAAAAATAAAAAGTAAGAAAAAGGTAGGTAAAAAAAAAGCATGAAGAAGCCAGAAAGTTTCACTGCAACTTATAGAGCAGCTTCACTTTAATTCAGTGATTAGAGGTCGGGTAGATTTTCTTACCGGTGGTCCGATTTTTCCAACACCTCCGGTGTCCCCTTTCTCTCCCTGCAATGAGTAAACATTAAACAATCTTATTATTTATTACCTGTAGTTTAACATATATCTTACTATCTTTACTACATTTTTTTATTCTAACAGTATGCTCAAAGGATATTAAGGGCGTAAAAGAACACACACATGGATTGCAAGGGGCTGTGAATAATTTCCATGATGCACCGCATGATGACGGTCATGGAGGAAATCATTTCCCTCTAATTAAGACCATCTTTACTGCACAGTCTAAGAGTTTAAGCGGATGAAAATCAAGGCAACCACGAAATAAGCACAAAAAATTATGATAGAAAAAACAAAACAACTAACTATTCTAAAGTGACTGGTTGGGTTTAAAAGTAAGTAACGTTTATTTATAAAGTACTTGTCAAAGAAAAAAAACACAAGACAACATTTATTATAAAGCACAAGTTATACACAAGTTTACGAGAAACAGGATAATAAAAGAACAATAAGTTCATGACATAAAAGACTATTTATGCAGAACAGATTTTAGTTTGTTTTTAAAAGCATCCACAAAGTTTGTTGGGCAAGTATTTCCATAGTCTAGCAGCAGCAGTCTAAAAGTCCTTTTGTTTTTTGTTTTTTAGATTTAAGCCTTTTATGACGAATAACCAGGATGTTCTTGGCTTGGGATCAAAGCCTACAAGCAGCAAAGTGATTGGTTAAAAGCTTAAAGATATTAGGAACCAGACTATTTAAAGATCTGAGTGTAAAGACATGTATTTAACTGAATGCTGAAATCCTCCAGAGTAGGGAGTATGAGAACAAATTGATATTGTAGTATTAATTAGTTTCAGCTAATAGTTTTGTTGCTGCATTTTAAATGGTTTGCAGGTGTGAAATTCATGATCATTTCAGAACCGTAAAAGGTAGATTACAATAGTCTAAAAAGAATGATATAGATTTGTGCAGAAGGACATGCTTCATTCATGAAAGAAACATGAACAACACATTTACTTGATGTTTGGGTCAATTCTTATTCAGAAATCAAGGATAACTTTATAGATAGTTCTTTTTGATATTGGAATTTGGAACCGGATAAACAGAAGCAACTCTGACTTATGAACTTAGGAGATTAGGAGCCTGAAAATTGCTTGAGAGCCTGTTAATGATGGGAGATAAATGTAGAGCAAGGGTTAATTTCTTACTTTCTACTGGCAGAAGAAAAAACACTGTCATTAATGTATTTTAAAATGAAAAAAAAAAAAGAAACAAATTAAAGAAAACACTCTCATGTGTATGTGTTATTAGTGAGATAAATATTTCCAGGTGTGTAATAGCTGTGTGGGATTCTGCTTACTAGGTCAGCTTCCAATCGCAAGAGTCGTGTTTGATCCCAAGCCCTGACAGATTTTTATTCTGTTTTTAAGAGTTCTTCCAACATATCGTTTAGGGAATAGGTCAGTGGCGGCCGGCCCATAGGGGGCGCTGGGGCACCGCCCTCCCTGATAAGAAGAGAGAAACGTAAAAAATATTTTTAGAAATTAACTCATAAATGTCAGTTTTACTCTCTAGAGTGTGTACCTATAAGAAAAACAAATTATATAAACTACATTTCCCTATCTAC